TATGATAACAGACAAAGAGCCTTATTTGGTTCAATATTAAGAGGTCCAGCCGCTCAATGGTATCAGGGATTAGCAGCAAACTTACCTTGGAATGATATAACAGATCAATTCATAGATAGATTCACTGATGATAAAGATAAGTATAGGAGACGAATAGAAGCAGAAAACATAAAAAGATAACCTGATGAATTCATTAAAAGCTACATACATAGATTAAGCACCGCAGTAGACCGTGGATGGCCTAATCCAACTTTTAATGATGATCAAAGAACAGCAAAGAAAATGGAATTCTTTGTACGCGGCTTAAGCCCGCCAGGCTTGAAACAAAAGGCTCATCAATTCCTAATTGAGAATCCACCCGCAACATGGCAACAATTAAAAGATCATATTGCAACAAAAGACTTAAGTTTTGCAGTAAGTAGTGAGTTTACTGGAACAGCCTCAAGTAGTGTGGATAATAAGTTGGAGATAGAAGGAATAAAGGATCAGCTTAAGGAGTTAACAGGACTAATGAAAGATCATAAAATAAATGCAGCCTATAATCCAAATGAACCCAGAAATAAACAAAACCATACCCGATTTTGTAAATGGTGTCGTAGGTCAGGTCATACTATCAGTGTTTGTTTTAAATATAGAGACCACAAAGATCAAAACAGAAAACCACCTCAGTATCCTTAAGAAATTCTTTTTCCAACAAACTAGAAACAGCTTTTAAAATTCAAAAAATATATTATTATTAGGATCTGTGAGTATTTGTCAGATTAGTTTTCAACCTCAAAAAGCCAGAGACAATGGGTATCTTTCGATAGAAACACAATTTCATTGTCTTCTACTTGACAGATATTCCTGGTAGGGTTCTTGCGAAATGCATCCCCTGCGCTAGCAGTCGCCCACGATATCCCTCCATCTCGAGGTCTATTAGACGGCTTTCTAACTGTCATTAGCTCATGAACTTAACTATTATCTATTATTATAATAATATATAAAATTTCTGAAAGAATCGTTCTCTGCCTAAGTCCGCTAGTAAGATATACCCGTTTTGTCCAGTAATCCACTAAAGTTTTGCCGAAACTTCAGTTTAAAGTTATCATCACTAAAATTAACGAAATCCTGTATTAAACTAAAGTGCTCAAAAACTTATCCTAATCCTTCATCAATTCTCGAGGCTTATCCTCAAATTTTCTTAAACTCATTTTAATTCTAACCACCTTAACGTAACTTAAACCTAAATCATCCATCAGTAAAGCTACCAATTACTGAAACTAAGGAAGAAAATAACAAAAACCAAAAAGGAAGGAACGGATTTGAGTGTTTTTTGATAAATCATTAGTTTTTTTTGACACAGTTTAAATATACACCTAATTAACAATAAGATTACGCACTAAAACCAATCTTAAACGTTAACCACATAACACCAAACACCAAGTTTTAGTTTCAGCACAAAAATATCAGGTTTCACAACAAAAACTAAGTTTAAAACACTGACACATCCACTTTATATTGATAAAATAGGTTTCATATGATAGCATAAGCACTAAAAAATTGATTTTTACCAGCCAAAATTTTTGGTTTCAGTCTAGGTTTCAGTTATAGGTTCAAACGTTTCAGTTAAAATAAGTATAGTTTCCGGTCAAAATTTTAAGTTTCTGTAAACGGATTCGGGTAAAACAGCAAAAGTTGAACTAGTCAAACCCAAATTTGGATACCATAAGTCAAAAACCTGGTCTTAAATGGTACGTTTTTGTTAGTTTCAGGTTTCAGAACACAAAAATTGAGTTTTTGGTCTCAAAATTGAGCTCCGAACGCCGAATTTTGACTTTCTAGAGAAAACTAACGGTGTTAAAACCCACCAAACCAATTTTAAATTTTGGTTCCTAAGGCTGAAACGTACGTTTCAGAATTGGTGTTTTTGGTTTCAGACCCAAAAATCTTGCTTCCCAAGTGAAATTTTTGTGAAATATTGAAAGATAATAGGAATCCTTAATGAACTAACAAATTTTTAAACTCAAAAAACTTCTAGAAGGTGTTAGTTTGAGCCCTCAAACTTATAGTTTCAGTAAACTAAAATCGTCGTTTTAGGCTAAAATTTTCATCTTTTTGGCAATTTTATTGCTGGAATAGAAATATATTAGAGAGACCAACCTAAATTTTCAATCTCAAAACTCTAAAACCAAGTGGTCAAACCACAGTTTCAGTTCTAGAAATCATAGTTTCAGCCCCAAAAACTTAGGTTTACGCAAACAAAATTTTGATTTTGAAGTTGCAAACCTGTTCAAAATTCCAATTTACACTAGACCAGCTATCAAAAACCAACTTTTTATTTTCAGGCACCGAGTTTGAGAGAGTTTAAGAGTTTTAGGTTTGAGTTTTCAAAAACTAAGTTTAAGATATCAAAAGATTCGGTTTTCTCGAATTTTTTTGCAAGATAAAGCAAAAACCAGATATAATAAAGCGTATAGAAAGTTTTAAGATTAAAAAAACTCAACTTCAGCTACCATAGTTTCAGGTTTCAGATTATCGTTTCAGTCAAAAAATTTTCTAAGAATTTTTAACAAAAAAATTAAGTTTTGAACCAATAATAACCAATAAAGGCATATAGTTGTATTGTTAACCATACCATAGCATCAATAAAACTTCACTTGAACAAAGTTTCAGGTTTCAGTTAAGGTTTCAGCGAATAAAAAACTTGAAAAACTTAGAAAAAATTTTTAAAAAAATTTTTTTTTCAAAGAAATTTTTTTAAATTTCCTTATCTTATTCTTTATAACCTTTGTTAAAATTCAATAATTCCTAAGAGGTTTTCATTACTCTAAGACATACTAATCAAATAATACAACTTGGCTTAAGAAAAAGAAAACAAACATCGTGAAATTAATGTCAACACATTTTAAAATTGACGTCAGTACAATAAATTTAAAGCTCAAATTAGGAAATAAAGTCTCTAACATCATATGGTATATCACTAACACTGAACAAAATCATATTAGTATATTAGCAAAACACCCTAACGAAGATAAACACGAATTATACGTCTTCTTTCGTCGATATACTCCAGAAATTGACACCATTCTTCAGCAAATAAAAATACCAAATAACATAATTTGTATACCGGAAGAGCGATTAATTGCTTCACTCCCGATTGCTTTCTGATATCATAATATACCCAAGCACAAAACTACTTGCATTTTAATCATTTTTTATTAAAAACACAAAATTTTTCCTTAACAAAAATTAAAAATAATAACGAGTTCATAAGAAAAATTTAAATATTTTTTATATTGTTTATCATTCCCTAGATAAATATTTATGTCCCTAAAAGGATGTAAAATGCTATGACCAACTTTTATCAAGTAAATACAACAGCATTTAATTGAAAACTAAAATTAAAAAATAAATCCACAAAAATTATTTGGTATATCACCAATATCCAAAAAGATCAAATCACAATTTTGTCCAAACACCCACACAAAAATATTCACGAATTAACCATTCTTTCCAGCAGCAATACCCCAGAGATAACTTCTATCTTAAAAAAGCTTAAGCAGCCCCATAGCACTATTGATCTATCTAACAAAAATTCGTATTCATTGATCCCAGCAAACGTCATTGTAACTTAAATACAATTTTTTCAGTCCGTACAATTGATCAGTACACAACACATCCAAACCCTTTATATATTGTTAACAAAACATTGAGTGATTTTAACAAACGATGGCAAACGTAGTAGCATACCCAGATTTAGCTCTCGAAAAGTTTACCGGCTTAGATCCGAATGAAGATGCAAGAGATTTTCTTGATATAGTAGAGAAAAAGATAGCATTTTCCCTAGGCACTAGACCAGGAGATGCAGGTGACGAACAAGACGCATATGATAACAGACAAAGAGCCTTATTTGGTTCAATATTAAGAGGTCCAGCCGCTCAATGGTATCAGGGATTAGCAGCAAACTTACCTTGGAATGATATAACAGATCAATTCAAAGATAGATTCACTGATGATAAAGATAAGTATAGGAGACGAATAGAAGCAGAAAACATAAAAAGACAACCTGATGAATTCATTAAAAGCTACATACATAGATTAAGCACCGCAGTAGACCGTGGATGGCCTAATCCAACTTTTAATGATGATCAAAGAACAGCAAAGAAAATGGAATTCTTTGTACGCGGCTTAAGCCCGCCAGGCTTGAAACAAAAGGCTCATCAATTCCTAATTGAGAATCCACCCGCAACATGGCAACAATTAAAAGATCATATTGCAACAAAAGACTTAAGTTTTGCAGTAAGTAGTGAGTTTACTGGAACAGCCTCAAGTAGTGTTGATATTAAGTTGGAGATAGAAGGAATAAAGGATCAGCTTAAGGAGCTAACAGGACTAATGAAAGATCATAAAATAAATGCAGCCTATAATCCAAATGAACCCAGAAATAAACAAAACCATACCCGATTTTGTAAATGGTGTCGTAGGTCAGGTCATACTATCAGTGTTTGTTTTAAATATAGAGACCACAAAGATCAAAACAGAAAACCACCTCAGTATCCTTAAGAAATTCTTTTTCCAACAAACTAGAAACAGCTTTTAAAATTCAAAAAATATATTTTTATTAGGATCTGTGAGTATTTGTCAGATTAGTTTTCAACCTCAAAAAGCCAGAGACAATGGGTATCTTTCGATAGAAACAAAATTTCATTGTCTTCTACTTGACAGATATTCCTGGTAGGGTTCTTGCGAAATGCATCCCCTGCGCTAGCAGTCGCCCACGATATCCCTCCATCTCGAGGTCTATTAGACGGCTTTCTAACTGTCATTAGCTCATGAACTTAACTATTATCTATTATTATAATAATATATAAAATTTCTGAAAGAATCGTTCTCTGCCTAAGTCCGCTAGTAAGATATACCCGTTTTGTCCAGTAATCCACTAAAGTTTTGCCGAAACTTCAGTTTAAAGTTATCATCACTAAAATTAACGAAATCCTGTATTAAACTAAAGTGCTCAAAAACTTATTAAATATCTTCATTTATTTTTTCGAGGGGGTTAAGTGGTCATATGTGCGATCTAAGAGTACCCTAAATTGTATGATAAATTGAATTATTCATCACATTATCTCAAACCATCCACGCTTGTTGCTATTTATCCTAATCCTTCATCAATTCTCGAGGCTTATCCTCAAATTTTCTTAAACTCATTTTAATTCTAACCACCTTAACGTAACTTAAACCTAAATCGTCCATCAGTAAAGCTACCAATTACTGAAACTAAGGAAGAAAATAACAAAAACCAAAAAGGAAGGAACGGATTTGAGTGTTTTTTGATAAATCATTAGTTTTTTTTGACACAGTTTAAATATACACCTAATTAACAATAAGATTACGCACTAAAACCAATCTTAAACGTTAACCACATAACACCAAACACCAAGTTTTAGTTTCAGCACAAAAATATCAGGTTTCACAACAAAAACTAAGTTTAAAACACTGACACATCCACTTTATATTGATAAAATAGGTTTCATATGATAGCATAAGCACTAAAAAATTGATTTTTACCAGCCAAAATTTTTGGTTTCAGTCTAGGTTTCAGTTATAGGTTCAAACGTTTCAGTTAAAATAAGTATAGTTTCCGGTCAAAATTTTAAGTTTCTGTAAACGGATTCGGGTAAAACAGCAAAAGTTGAACTAGTCAAACCCAAATTTGGATACCATAAGTCAAAAACCTGGTCTTAAATGGTACGTTTTTGTTAGTTTCAGGTTTCAGAACACAAAAATTGAGTTTTTGGTCTCAAAATTGAGCTCCGAACGCCGAATTTTGACTTTCTAGAGAAAACTAACGGTGTTAAAACCCACCAAACCAATTTTAAATTTTGGTTCCTAAGGCTGAAACGTACGTTTCAGAATTGGTGTTTTTGGTTTCAGACCCAAAAATCTTGCTTCCCAAGTGAAATTTTTGTGAAATATTGAAAGATAATAGGAATCCTTAATGAACTAACAAATTTTTAAACTCAAAAAACTTCTAGAAGGTGTTAGTTTGAGCCCTCAAACTTATAGTTTCAGTAAACTAAAATCGTCGTTTTAGGCTAAAATTTTCATCTTTTTGGCAATTTTATTGCTGGAATAGAAATATATTAGAGAGACCAACCTAAATTTTCAATCTCAAAACTCTAAAACCAAGTGGTCAAACCACAGTTTCAGTTCTAGAAATCATAGTTTCAGCCCCAAAAACTTAGGTTTCCGCAAACAAAATTTTGATTTTGAAGTTGCAAACCTGTTCAAAATTCCAATTTACACTAGATCAGCTATCAAAAACCAACTTTTTATTTTCAGGCACCGAGTTTGAGAGAGTTTAAGAGTTTTAGGTTTGAGTTTTCAAAAACTAAGTTTAAGATATCAAAAGATTCGGTTTTCTCGAATTTTTTTGCAAGATAAAGCAAAAACCAGATATAATAAAGCGTATAGAAAGTTTTAAGATTAAAAAAACTCAATTTCAGCTACCATAGTTTCAGGTTTCAGATTATCGTTTCAGTCAAAAAATTTTCTAAGAATTTTTAACAAAAAAATTAAGTTTTGAACCAATAATAACCAATAAAGGCATATAGTTGTATTGTTAACCATACCATAGCATCAATAAAACTTCACTTGAACAAAGTTTCAGGTTTCAGTTAAGGTTTCAGCGAATAAAAAACTTGAAAAACTTAGAAAAAATTTTTAAAAAAATTTTTTTTTCAAAGAAATTTTTTTAAATTTCCTTATCTTATTCTTCATAACCTTTGTTAAAATTCAATAATTCCTAAGAGGTTTTCATTACTCTAAGACATACTAATCAAATAATACAACTTGGCTTAAGAAAAAGAAAACAAACATCGTGAAATTAATGTCAACACATTTTAAAATTGACGTCAGTACAATAAATTTAAAGCTCAAATTAGGAAATAAAGTCTCTAACATCATATGGTATATCACTAACACTGAAAAAAATCGAATTAGTATATTAGCAAAACACCCTAACGAAGATAAACACGAATTATACGTCTTCTTTCGTCGATATACTCCAGAAATTGACACCATTCTTCAGCAAATAAAAATACCAAATAACATAATTTGTATACCGGAAGAGCGATTAATTGCTTCACTCCCGATTGCTTTCTGATATCATAATATACCCAAGCACAAAACTACTTGCATTTTAATCATTTTTTATTAAAAACACAAAATTTTTCCTTAACAAAAATTAAAAATAATAACGAGTTCATAAGAAAAATTTAAACATTTTTTATTTTGCTTATCATTCCCTAGATAAATATTTATGTCCCTAAAAGGATGTAAAATGCTATGACCAACTTTTATCAAGTAAATACAACAGCATTTAATTGAAAACTAAAATTAAAAAATAAATCCACAAAAATTATTTGGTATATCACCAATAGCCAAAAAGATCAAATCACAATTTTGTCCAAACACCCACACAAAAATATTCACGAATTAACCATTCTTTCCAGCAGCAATACCCCAGAGATAACTTCTATCTTAAAAAAGCTTAAGCAGCCCCATAGCACTATTGATCTATCTAACAAAAATTCGTATTCATTGATCCCAGCAAACGTCATTGTAACTTAAATACAATTTTTTCAGTCCGTACAATTGATCAGTACACAACACATCCAAACCCTTTATATATTGTTAACAAAACATTGAGTGATTTTAACAAACGATGGCAAACGTAGTAGCATACCCAGATTTAGCTCTCGAAAAGTTTACCGGATTAGATCCGAATGAAGATGCAAGAGATTTTCTTGATATAGTAGAGAAAAAGATAGCATTTTCCCTAGGCACTAGACCAGGAGATGCAGGTGACGAACAAGACGCATATGATAACAGAAAAAGAGCCTTATTTGGTTCAATATTAAGAGGTCCAGCCGCTCAATGGTATCAGGGATTAGCAGCAAACTTACCTTGGAATGATATAAGAGATCAATTCATAGATAGATTCACTGATGATAAAGATAAGTATAGGAGACGAATAGAAGCAGAAAACATAAAAAGACAACCTGATGAATTCATTAAAAGCTACATACATAGATTAAGCACCGCAGTAGACCGTGGATGGCCTAATCCAACTTTTAATGATGATCAAAGAACAGCAAAGAAAATGGAATTCTTTGTACGCGGCTTAAGCCCGCCAGGCTTGAAACAAAAGGCTCATCAATTCCTAATTGAGAATCCACCCGCAACATGGCAACAATTAAAAGATCATATTGCAACAAAAGACTTAAGTTTTGCAGTAAGTAGTGAGTTTACTGGAACAGCCTCAAGTAGTGTTGATAATAAGTTGGAGATAGAAGGAATAAAGGATCAGCTTAAGGAGTTAACAGGACTAATGAAAGATCATAAAATAAATGCAGCCTATAATCCAAATGAACCCAGAAATAAACAAAACCATACCCGATTTTGTAAATGGTGTCGTAGGTCAGGTCATACTATCAGTGTTTGTTTTAAATATAGAGACCACAAAGATCAAAACAGAAAACCACCTCAGTATCGTGAAAAATTCTCAGACAATTATAATAGGAGATCTAGGCCTCGAGAAGAAAATAGTTATAACAATCGATACAATGGCTATAATCAGCGAAATAACAATAACAGACCATATTCTCCGTATCCTAGACAGTTCAAAAACAGAACAAATAGTTTCGATAGATCTCGATCTCAAAATTTTGGATCAAGAGATAGAAATTTCAATAATAGATTTAACGATCAAAATAACCCAAATCGTTATAATACTTACAACACAGCCTCAAACAACTATAATCAAAATAGGACCAGAAGCAATTCTATACCCGATCGAAATAGAAGATCATTTTCACAAGACAATTATCGAACGCGATACCAAAACAGACCTCACGAAAATAAATTCCCATCCTACAATAATCAAGCAAGATCCCTAGGTGATTCAAAACCATCCTCCAGAGAAAATAGTCGAGACAGAAACCCTAAAGTACAATTTAGTGAGAATAAAATCCATGGGTATTACAGCGATGACGAAGGCGAGGAACTTACTTTAAACTAGAACAGTCTCCGCAAGATAAAAAGTCACAAATGTATATTAATCTATATCAACATCCCGTCGGAGACAAAAATAAAAATAACGGCCTTGAAACCCAATTCTTAGTAGACACTGGAGCAACTTGTTCACTATTAAATTACGATACCTATTTAGAATACGCAAAAATACAAAAGTTGACACTTACTAAAGCACAATCCAAAACATTTGCTGTTAATGGACAAAAACTCAAACTCTTAGGATATACAAATTTTAACGCTAGTTTTGACAGTAAAGGTGATTATTTTGTGAAAATTCGAGCATGGGTTGCGGCCAAGGACGGATGTAAACTTAATATATTAGGTATGGATTTCCTCTCTAATTCAACTAAATCGATCGACTTTTCAACACCGAAACTAGAACTCAAGATGTACCCAGGAGTATCAGTCGCTATCAGCAATATAAAAAGCAAAAGCTATCCATTTATAAGTAGTTATCAGAATGTACTTTTAGACCAAACCATAACTTTAGCACCAAAATCAACTCGTGTCATTTCAATATCCCCAGCTGACAAAGTTTACAAAAAGGGAACATCGTTCAAACTAGATAAAGATCTACAACAAAAAGGAATATACACTTATAACACATATTGTAATCATGACGAGAAAACGTTACCTATAATGTTAAACAATCCTAAAGAATCGAAGGTCATTATATCCAAAGGTTCAATTGGACAAACTTTCGAGGACATTGAAACTGTTACAAAAACAATCTACAGCGTCGCAGACAATATAGCTTCTATGGAAGTTTTGTTCAACAAAAACGAACATCTAGATCCTATTTTTCATGTAAGCGAGCAATCAAAAGATCAACTGTTCTTCAAAAACTCTTCAATTAGTGAAAATCGTAAAAATTCCAAAAAGAAAAACAAGGAACTTTTGCAACAAAAAGAACTAGATTATACAAATAAATACGAA